CAACAAAAAACAAAACAAAACAAAAACCCCATTAATTCGATATTTCCAAATCCATAACCCTGTAAATCCAAAATTATCAGCTGTCTACACTTGGACAAGTTACTCAGTCTCCCCATTCCACACTTGTAAAATGCAAACAAGATTTGTGACTACCTACGAACAGTATGAGGATTTTCCATGGAGGTTGGAGGATTTTGACAGTGATATCTGGAAAAGGGCATAAACTTATATCCAGAGAGATCTTTGCATGTAAATAGCATCTTTATTCGTAGCTAACAAACTTGGTAGCATCAAAATATCCTTCAGAGTAGAACAGGTGAGCATAGGGAAAATTTTGTTGATTTTTTGAGAATTTCATACAATTTATTTTGAGCTTATTCACCTTTTTCCGCTAATTCCTCCAATAACTACCCTCTTAACCTCCATGCTTTTCCACCCAACTTTGAGATTTCTTGCCCCCCCCCCATTAATCCTGGGTTGTATTGTTCAATTATTCTTGAGAATAGGCCTGACCTGATGTGAGGTCAGCCTACCAGGATCACATCATTAAAGAAAACCGACTCCCCATGTTAAGCAGCTATGGAGTGGCAATAGCCTCTCAGCTGGTGATAGGGTTTTATGCCTATTTTCCATGCTCTCCCCATGTTGGATTTTGTCTGACCAAAGCTTGCATAGATCTTGTACATCTCATGGTCTCTGTGAGTTCCTATGTGCAACTGCCCTGTTGTGCCCTGAAAATACTGTTTACTTGTTTTGAACTTCATTAAAAAAAAAAAAAAGCCCTAAACAACAATCAGGGTCCTTGAGTATCTTTGCTCACATGACTGTCATTCTTGACTGTTTATCTGGCTGTTCCAGCACATTGCTTTGAATAAAGATTTCATACTATATTTCAATCTGTGTGGACTTTAATTCCACTTTTGTATAAGTGCTGAGAACCTGGAAATATCTGGTCCAGACCACTGGTAAAAAGGGGGTGAATATAATATGGTAACATGATAGAAGATCATTTGCTAATAAAAAAGAACTATAACGTTGTGACAAGAGGTAAGAGAATTCTTGTAAAGTTTTATTATCATATGATGTGTGTGTGATGTGTCTGTGTGTTGTGTGCATGTCAGTACAGGGAACACATTTAAAGTTTATAGTTTTAAAAACCTCTCTCTCTCTCTCTCTCTCTCTCTCTCTCTCTCTCTCTCTCTCTCTCTCTCTGTGTGTGTGTGTGTGTGTTGTATACCTGTGAAGACCAGAAAAAGAACCCCTAACAGGCAGATGCCAGCCCCCTGATGTGGGTGCTAAGGACCAAGATTTGATCTTCTGAAAGAGTGGCAAGCTTTCTTAGCTGCTGAGTCATATCTCCAGTCACAAGAGACACATAAGTATATTTTTATAAGGAAAAAAAGGCAATCTGGAGAGGCTACACAGTGTTTTGTTTACAACTATATGAGATTCTAGAAGGGGCAAACTTTTGATAGTAGAAAGATAAGTGGTCCCCATAGGTTGGTGGTGAGGGATGGATAGATAAGGAGTTGTGACAGTGCCCTGAATGACACTGCAAGGATGAGTACATGGCATTATGCATTTGGGAAAAGCCCATGGAAACTGAGAGAAACTTACTTGGAATTATGCATTTTAAGTAATAATAGTATATGAAAATAGGTTCGACAGCTGTAACAGTTGCACCGCATTAATGCAAAGCGCGAATAGCAGGAACTTGTGCTAAGAGGGAGAGGGAATATTTGAGAACTTTCTGTACTTTTTGAAGCCTAAAACTTCCCTAAAGGGAAAAAAAAAGTTTGAGAAGGCTGAGGCTGGAGGATTGAAATTGAAGATCTAGCCAGGCTACAGAGTGAGTTAGAGTATAAAATTAAAACAGAAGGTTGGGGATGCAGCTTGTTGGAAGGGTCCTTGCCTCACTTATGTGAGGTCCCAAGTTCAATTCCTGGTATAGTAAAGAAAGAGATAATAACAAACCTCATTAAACAAGGTTTAAATGCTTTCTTAGCTTGTATTATATTATTCCCTAACTGTGTGCTTGCTATTTGTAAACATTAACCCCAGGATGAATTATAAAATTGCTTTTATTTTCAAACCAATGGGGTTGTGGCAGGTGTGTGAGTAGGCATATGGATCCTCCTATGCCCAATTTTAAGGAGCTATGGAATCATTATGGATCTTGTTAAAGACAGACATTGCTGTAGCAGATCTCAGATAGGGCCTGAGATTTTGTATTTCTAAGCAGCTCTAAGGGTTGCCACTGCTGCTGGTCAACAAATCATATTTCCTGGAGCAACTATGTAAATAAAAACAACTAGGTTTGTTGCCTGGCTCAGGTGAAGACCTTCCCATAATCTCAGGCAAGTTCCAGCATATCTCTCATGCAGAGAGATTGCAAGCTATCATTTCCCAAGACAAGTCTGTTTCCAGACTGAAGATCCTGGTCCCAAGGCCTGTTGGCAACTTATGTTTTCTGTACACAAGTCAGTTAGAACCTCAGTAATGCCAAGTAACAAACAATTCTAAAGCTCAGAGGAATCAAAGGATTCAAATTTATTTCATGGGTGAACAGGGAGATTGTTGTTTGGCAGATCAAAGTTGGGCTCTGTTGGATTGGGGCTAGGCAAGCTCCATGTATCTCTTCTCTGTACTCACAGCTGCCCAGGACACAATATTCTTATGGGTACAAGGGTGCAAGCCCAGTTACCTTGATATATTTCAAGCCTCTGCTCATTTGATGTCACATATGTCCCACTACTCATAGCAGGTCTCATGGCCATGCTCTGCTCCAAAGTGGTGGGGCATTCCCCCTCTTTCAGTAACAGCCATTGCAAAGAGGTGGATGAATAACTGTTTTAGCAATGTGCAAAGTTGAGATCTGCAATTTGCTCTGGCACATTCTTTCAACAGAGTGGGAAAATTCTGCTCAGATAACAATCCCACCTACTACATACAATCATGTCATTCCCTAAAGCCATATCTAACATACAAAAGTTGTTCTCTGAATAGACTTCCGGTCACAGTTGTCTGTCTTAGAATTAAAAGATACATGGGCTACATACCTATTTGACTAACTCAAACAAGAGAATCAATGCCCCCACACTGAGTATGTGGAGTATGTTTGCTTTCTTAGGCTATTGTAACAAAATGCCTTGGTAGCCCAAGAAATGCAGTATGTCACCAAAGCCTTTGCTCTGAGCCATGATGGTGAATTCTAAGCTTTAGATCATGTAATTTTCATTACAACCTCTCTTTTATTCCAGTTTAATGTATAAAAACATAACCCAAACTGGTGGGAATCAGTAAATAGGAAGTTAAGCAAGCTAGTAAGTAGTGTTGCCAGGTTTGAACATAGGTAAAAATGAATAGAATTCTATGCAAAAACAATGTCTGCAGATTGGGCGTCCAGCTTCCTGCAGTGTTAGCATCTCAAATAACTACAGCATGAGGATCCAATCTAAGAAATTAACATTGAGAATTTCTTGACATTGCTGATTGAACTAGAACCCACAGGTGAGTTTTGCTTATTGGGCCCACTAATACCCATATTCTGACCCGGAGTCCAGATTCTGGCTCAGGATTCTGTATTGATTTCAGTCGTGTATTTCTCTTGTACGCTGAAATCTGTAACACTTCTTCAGTCTTGTCTATCCTGACCTTGACACATTGGAGAAGTACCTGCCAATTCTCCCACAGAGTGTCTTTTGTTTGAGATCTGTCTAATGTTTTCCCATGGTTATGTTGAGCTTATGAATTTTCTCGGTTATGAACTTGTAGTATATGGGTGAGCTTGTGTTCTCCTCAGGGCAGTGTATTAGATGTACATGATGTTAGGTCTTTTTAATGCTGGCACTGATCTTGACCACTTGGTTAAAAAAAATTGTTTTTGTTAGAGTTGCTAGGTGGTTGTTGTTCCTGGTGTTGGTGGTGGTGGTGGTGTGTGTGTGTGAGTGTGTGTGTGTGTGTGTGTGTGTGTGTGTGTATGTGTGTGTGTATGAGTGTGAAGGTACAGCACCCATGAGTACATGCAGATCTAACAGGAAGACACTGGGTGTCTTTATCATCCTCCACCTTTTTGTCTTGAGGCAGGTCCTCTCACTGATCCAAAGGCTCACCATTTCAGCTAGGCTGGGAGTCACTGAGTCCTGGGACCTGCCTCTGTCCTGCAATGATGGAGCTACAGACGTGTGGAGCTTGTGTGTTGCTTATGCGAGTGTTGGAGACTCAACTTCAGGTCCTCATGCTTTCACAGCAAGTGGTTTGACTGATGAAGCTATTTCCCTGGGTATTTTGTTGGGTTTTTTTCTTTCTCTTTGTAAATAGACCGTGCAAATAGCAATTTCAGATGTTTCAAATGTCCTGCTTTGCCCATTCCTCTTTGCATCTATATTTGGCCCACACTTGCAACTGCATGATGGTGTCAAGTGGTCATTTGATCTATTCTCATCACTTTTTTGAGGCTTGATAATTGGTTTTGTGCTGTGGGGAGGAGCTTCTTTCTTAGTCTTCATTTGTTCAGTTATCTCTTTATTGTCCTGCCGGGACCCAGGGAGCATCTCAGGGATAACTTTCCCTCTTTTGCTTCCCTCTCTTTTTTCTTCTATTTTTCTCTCTACTCGTGCCTGATAAAACCAAATCTACTACCAGGATTTGTGACTTAGGAATTATGTACTTTTAAAGAAATCAAAATAACCGGTTTCTCAGCCAGGGCTGAAACCTGGAAGAAGCCTGATTTGGAAAGACTCAGTTGTTCATGTCACTGAAGAGCAGTCTGGAGCTGGGTTTCCTGATCCAAGCCAGAGTTCAGAACTTTGACCTTATGGCAGCAGAAGTTCTAGTTGGTCTGCTGTGGTAGTGTGTGTGTCGGGGGAGGGTATGGTATACTTCTGCCTCACAATTACATGTCTGAGCCCCCACCCTATGTCATATTTTAGGATTTGTTTGGCCAATAAGATTTCAGCATACACACCAGCCTGCTTGAGCCTTGCCTTTGATGTCACAATCTGACCTGAAGGCATTAATCTAGCCACAGCCACTCATGGACCAGATGGCAAGGTCAAGAGGACCACAGTAAGATGTGGAAGAGAACTGATCCTCAGGCCAAGATCAAAGCAGGGGATAGGCCTCAGACTTGCCATTCTCTGGCTCTGGGATCGTCCACAGAGCCGGCACTGCCACACCCACTAGAACTGTCAGACTTTCAGGGCTTCTCTGTGTTTGAGGACATTAGCAATCACATCAAAGAAGCAGGAGCCCAACTTGTAAAAAAAGTGAATGCCATTTTTCAGCTGGACATCACCAAAGACGGGAAGACCATTCTGCAGTGGACCATTGACCTCAAGAATGGTTCTGGGGACACGTACCTGGGATCTGCCCGGCTTCCAGCAGACACTGTCTTCATTATCCCCGACTCTGTCTTCATGGAGTTAGCTGTGGGTAAGATGAACCCACAGAAGGCTTTCCTAGCTGGCAAGTTCAAAGTGAGAGGCAAAGTTTTCCTCAGCCAGAAGCTGGAAAGGATCTTCAGAGACTGGGGCAAATTTTAAGCATGCAGGAATACCCAGGCAAGATCAAGACTTCTGGCTTATAATGTTGAGTGGCAATCATGCTTAAACTGAAGATTAAAGGAAAAAATACCAATATTTTTACTCAAATTCTTCCTATTCAAGTTCGATTGATTTCCTGCTGATGTGTACATTTGCTGGGTTCTGGGACAGTAAAAAAGTGTTGGAGTGCAACACCTAAAACCTTTGTCCTTTCATTTTCTTAGCTGTGTTTATACTTTGATATGTCAGTGAGCCACATGGAGCTGAATGGGTGGTTCTGTTTGGATTTTAATGCTGATGATTTTCTAAGGTATATCTATATATATCTACTATATATACACACATATATTACTGTTATATATTATATATCTTAGAAAACACATAGCTTTTTTCTTTCTTTTTTAGTAGTTTGGAGCTTTGGGGAAAAGAAGTGAGCATGTGGGCACTATGTGTGTTAATGCAGGTCTCAAGGACCTAAGAGGGTGATCCCTGCTGCTCTGTACATGGAACCCGGTAATAGTAAGACGGTGTTCCTGGCATAGTGTACCTGTTGATGGATTCAAGCCAGGAAAGTTGAAAGACAAGAACAATATTCAAAGTTAGTGGTTCTTAGGCCAGATCATGTAGCAGCATTGTCCAGGTGTAGTTAAAGTCCAGATGATAGAAACCTCAGCTTCTGCTCGGTTGGCCTGGCTGGGGGAGAATGTGCGTTTTTGCCATGCCTCTATGTCGATGGGACCACCTTCGAAGAATTTTTGCCATTCTTTGCTTCGTGAGAAGGCTTTAGTATTGACCATTGTTCTATGTAAGACCAGTGTGATACTGTCATTATTTAAAGGCAGGTGACATGGCTCTTTCTGAGCCATTTCTAAAGAATTCATATTATTGGAAGTTTGTCAGCATTTTAATGTGAGCATTTTAATAATCAAATTCATGAAGAGGTTTTCCTCTTTCTGGTAACCTTTGTCATACATTTTCTTGGACTGGTATGAAGCCAACTGCAGCTGATTTGGCCTCCTTGTGTGAGTGTGTGCATCATTGGTTCACATGTAGTCTGGGTGTACCTTTAAATATGTGCAGTTTCCAGGGCATGAATTTTTGGAGACACATTAAAACCATGGTACCTACCCAATGTCATTTCATTTTTAAGGAATATCCCAAGGCAAACAAATACATACGTACAAGTACAAAGACTTGCATGTAAGCCAGTGAGATGGCTCAGTGAATAAGGGAGACTGATACCAAGGCTGAGAACCAGAGTTTGGTTTCTAGAACTCACATAGCAGAAGGAGAAAACCAAACCTCTGCCTATAGATTGTCCTGTGATCGCTATACACAAAAATAACCATCTTTTAAAGTTAAGAAGACTGGTTAAAAGCAGAGAATGAATGATTGTGGGCCATTCAACCCCAACTGGTACATCTACAATGTAATCTATATAGGGAACATTTCAGGAGGTGTGTGTGGAAAGGCTGTTGAGAGCCAGAGTACAGGGACACTTGCCATAAGACAGGTGTCTTCTATATATTATGTGGAAGCTGCACTCATGAAATCTCAACCATATGGCCACCTAAACAAGACCTGTGTAATGGTAATACTAGTTGACATGACAACATGGTTGGAGGAAATTTCATAAGGCTCCACCCCTAGATGAAGAGGTATAGGCAAGTAATGGCTGCTGAGAAGAATATCCATTCTTCAGGGATCAGTCCTCTGAATTAGGTTATCCAATCTCCTGTGGTTAGTCCTAACTAGACATAGGTATCTATAAATAACACTAGATGGATTCAGTTATAGATACTTAGTGCACACACACACACACACACACACACACACACAATTAAGAGGTTGTGAGTTTGAGAGGGGATGGGGGATGTTGACAGTTGAAGGGGAAGGGTGAAATGATATAAATATAGTACTCATGTATGACAATCTCCAAAATTAAAATTAAAATTTAAAATTTAAATAAAAAGGAAAATGGTTCAAACATTAGCTATAGCTATGTTGGTAATTATTTAAATCTGAAAGTAAAGGAAATGTCCATCAATAGTTGATGAGAATGAACAAATTGTGATATGCCATACTGTGGGATACCACTTAGCAATCAAAAGGAATTGTTGCACACCTGGTAAAGCAGATGGAAATAAGAAAATAGTTATGTTGATGAGAAGAGTGGATACTATACTATTTTAAAATACTAGAAAATGTGAGGAAAAATCCCATTAGAAAATGTAAACTGTGGTGACCGAATGATCAGAGTTTGCCAGGAGTTGGGAATGGGATGTGGGAATGATACAGGGAGGTGTTATAAATGGTCATGAGGAGACTTGGGGTGATGGATGTAGTCATTATCTTTGTGTGACGATGAGTTACAGATGATATATAGACCAATACACCAAATTATATATGCAATGCCCATATCTTAGTGCAAGGTGGTGAAGCTGCCTTTGTTCACAGTGAAGACATTTCTGAAGAGGACTTATGATTAACCCTGTCTCAGGGAAATGAGTCCTTTGACCTCCTCACAGACCTGCTTCCCACCATTAATTGATTTGGATGGCTCTAAGATTCTCTGTGGAGGAGAAGGCAAAGCAATGGCTGGTCTCACAGAGCATCTGTTCTTTGTGGGAGGGAAAGTTTGTTTGTTCATCTGATGCTCTGTTGAGTGGAGTCCACTCCATGGTAAAAAATTGCTTAGGGCCTGGGTGGTCACCTGGCATACATCTTGGCTTCTTTTCTCCCTAAGATCATGAAAATGATAACTGCAGAGTTGTGTTCCTGCTGAGTCCTGCTCTCATGGCAGCTGGGGAGATCTTGGAGGCTTTACTCTGTGAGTTCTTAGTTTAGAAAGCCCAGGCTTTCGCCAATCAGGCCACACGAGGGTGGGCAGATGTATGGGGTACTGTATGTCTACATTCCCTTTTAAGGGAAATGGCCAGACTAAGCTCAGGTATCCAGAGGGCCTTGCTCATACTGTGAGTTGGCATTAGCCTCCACTGATTGGTCTTGAGGCAAGGACTACATAGGACAAACTAGAGGAGAATCTAGCTTATGCTTGGAGTGGCATCTGACCTATGGCCCACTCTAACTTGAGGGAAAAAAAAACCCAAAACAAACCTGACTCAATCAGGTTCCTTCCTTGAGAATCTGGAATTGAGAAAATGATGCCTGTGCTATAAGCAGTGAGAATGGACATCTAGGGCTGAGGTATCAGAGGAGCCAGGAAGCCCATGGGAGACAAACTAACTCTCAGAAGCTGCAGACAGGAGTGAACAGGAGCCTTGAGTAAGCCGAGGAAGCTGGTCAGGGCTTGGGAAACATTGCAGGAAGCCCTTTGGAATTAACAAGAATCAGTGTCATGTCATATCTGTGTCACTGACGGCTACTGAACCTCTCTTTGTCCCAGACACCTCATCTGGAAGCAGTAGCCCATGCACTGCCAGATTGCCAGGGACCTACAAATCAGGACTGCCTAGCATGGCCACTCACCACACTGTATTTTCCATAAATGTGAATTCCCTTCTCTTCTGATTGGGAAGCGAGGTGGGTGAGTGGGGGTCTTCATCGGCCTCCTTTCCTCTCTAAAAAGGCCATGTTTGGGGTTTCTCCTGCTATGCTCTGCCTTTTGTCTTATACTCTGCTGGTGCTCTCAGAAGGTCACATCTGGCTCAAGTACACATCTGCATTTTGTTTGGTCATCACAAAAGTTGGCCAGGGCAGTGTTTTTAAAGACTGAGTTAAGACATAAAAATGAGACTCCTTAATTCTCCCGAAAAATTTAGAATTTCGTCTACATTGAGCCCATGTTCTTTCAGGGCATAGGGGGAGTGGTCCTCCAGAAAGACCCAGACCCCACTCTCCTCACCGCAGTCTTGGCTCTGAGCCTGTGTTACAATGTTCACGTTGTCATTTTCCCAAGCTGTGCCTGCTCCCTGGGGTCCTGACAGGGTTTGTTTATGGAGTGGAACACAATGGGATTGTCTCTTGGGGCGTGCTAAGCCAAAACAACCCTGACCAATACAGAAGAATGAAGACCAATTTGCCACCTGCAGCATGTCTAGTAATACCTTCCCGCCACAGAGGGAACTGCGGATCTTATTCTGGGGTGTTGAGCATATTCATATACAGTTGGGGTCCATTCTGAGCATGCTCAGTTTAAGGTCATAATGTTTTAAAGGTTTAGTTTTTAATTTCAATTTTATGTGTGTATTGTGTTTGTATGGTGTGTGTGTGTGTGTGTGTGTGTGTGTGTGTGTGTGTGTGGTATAATGACACAACTGCATGAATATTCATACCTGAGTATAAGCATGCAGAAGCCAGAGAAAGACACTGAGGTGTCTTCCTCTCTGCTCCCCACCTTATTGCTGTGAGGAAGGGTTTGCTCACTGATACAGAAGTTCATCACTATGACTGACCAGTGAGCTCTCAAGATGTATTTGCCTCTGTCCCCATTTTGGGGTTACAGGTGCTTACAAATGTGCCTGACTTCTTACATGGACGCTGGGGATTCAAACTCAGGTCCTCATACTTGCTCAGCAAGTACTCTGACTCACAGAGCTATCTCTCTACCCTATGTGTATGTATGCTTGTACGTATGTATGTATGTACGTTTTTTGAGACAGGGTTTCTTGAGTTGCCATGACCGTCCTGGAACCCACTTTGTAGACCAGGCTGGCCTCGAACTCATAGAGATGCACCTGCCTCGGCCTCCCCCTGCCCCTGCCAACAACCTAAGTGCTGAGATTAAAGTACTACACTTGGCTTACTTTTGGATTTTTAAAAATGAGTGTATATGTACGAGTGTCTATGCATAGGTTTGTGAATGTCAGTGCAATGCTTATGAAGCCAAAAGAGTGTTAGATACCTAGAAAATGGGGTTACGGGTGGTTGTGCACTGCCTGGAATGGGTTCTGGGAACTCAACTTGGGTCCTCAGGAAGAGCAGAAAACAATAACCATTGAGCCACCTTTCCAGCTGTTTAAGGAAAAAACAAAAAACAAAACAAAAAACAAAAAACAAACCAAAATCAGTAGGAACATTTTGGAACATGCTGAACTCAAGGCCCCGGGACATGTTTCAAAGGTTAAGACGGCA